ACCCCCACCCCCATCCCCACCCAAAGCGCGCTCTTAAGGATAAAGCACCGATATATCGGTCCATCGGTCCTCCGCCTGCAGCGCGCCGCCCCGATTCCGACTCCTGGGGTCGTTCTCCTGGACAGCCACCCCGTGCGTGCCCCGTGGCGTGCGCCCCCCGCCGGCCTCCGGCTGTCCGCAGCGCCACCACCCCGCCGCCGAGTACCCCGTCCCCAAGCTCTGACCGTATTTTCCCGAGCCGGGGAGGGGGGCGTGCGACCCTTCCCGCGGGGTCCCCAGCACGCGGGGCGCCCAGAGCACGGCCAGAACCGGCGGCGAGGGGACGCCCTCGGCTGGGGGGCCGCGGTTGCCTCGGGGAGACTGGGCCGAGGGTCGCGGGGCCCAAACCTGCCTCGGCTCCGCGCGCTCGCAAGTTCATTGTCTGCCTGGGCCGTCGCCGCCGCCGCCGCGCCGGGAGCGCCGCGGGGAGTGAGGCTGCGCGCAGCCTCCGCCAGGCCGGACTCCCTACGTCCAGCCCGGGCCGCCCCCGGCGCTGCCCGGCCAGAACGCGGAGGGGCGCCGGAACCCGGAGCCAGACACCCACCCGCCGCCGCGCCTGGCGCCCAACTTGTACCTGAGAAGCCCGAGTCCAGCCCGGGAGCCTCTTCGGCTCCAGCTCCGCGGGAGCGCGCCCAGCCCCGCGCCTCGAGCCCCTCATCCAGGGCGCGTCAACCTGACTCCCCGAGCGCAGGGAGGAAAAGTTTGGGAGTGACGTGCGGATGGCGAATGAAACATCCGAAAAGAACCCTCCCCCCGCCCCATGTCGCGCTGACACACATCAGCTCGAGTCTGGAATGTGAGAAAAAGGCGTGTGCGCGGAGCGGTGGGTTTGGTTCCCGCCCCCTCTCCTTCCAAGTAAACACGGCTTGTGCGATGCGGTGATTCCAAATAGAAAGCAAACCGAAACCCCTGAAGTCTGCCAATGACACCCTGCCAGAGACATTTTTAACGAACTTGGCGGTCTGGAACCAGCCCATACGTTGATATTCAAGGCCACGGCGCTGGTGGGTTCCGCGCCCTCTGTTGTATTTTTGCATCCCGAGAAGGCTCTCCCGGGCTCTTCGGCCCAGCCTGTTTGCTTCCACGGTGAGGGAAGGCTCAGCGGGACCCCGAGCCCGGCCGGCCGCAGTGGCCCAGGGGGTGGCAGCTCCAGGAAACCACCTGGGCTGCCCGAGGTCAAGGAAGCGGCACCAGTGGTCGACTCCCTGGCTCTTGACTGGAGATACCGTCAGTTAAAGAAAAGACACTTTGAATTCTGGAAGACTCGACTCAAGCCCAGCCTCTCAGGAAACAGGTCCAAGGGACAGAAAAAAAAAATCCTTGTTCTCAGTCACATAGCCTTTTGCCTGCCCGTGTCCCCATGGCTACAGTCCAGCATCTTGTCCTCAAAGCAACAAAGCAACCAAGAGTGGAGCTAAAATGCTCCATAAGTATCAAGCGCCGGCCCACCGCTGAGGGATGCGTCCTGCGTCCTGAGGGTGCCTTTTCCCCCTTTACTCTCTTTCTGGAAATACGTGACTTTGATGGCTTGAGGCTTCATTTCACACACACACACACACACACACACACACACACTGAAATGGCAGGGGCTTTGTCACCCTAACACCCACCCCCCCCCCCCCCCCCCCCCCAAAACTATAACCCACCCTTAGGTCATAAACTTCGGCTCAGCATCCATGGCAACTAATGCAGAGGTCACAATCAGAGGATTATAACTGCAGATGGAAAGCTGGGATGAGAGGAGAATTCTTCAAAACGGTATCTTGTTTTCCCGCAAATAATGCCTCTTACATAAAATCTACGAAGAAAGATTAATGCAGCAAAGAGACCAGCCTTAGAATCTCAGACTAGATTGCTTTTTCCATATAGACTCCACTTGGTGGTTTTTGTTCATTATTATTTTTTTAAACAAAAAGCTTTTTCTGAAAATACAATGAGCTGCTTTTTGCAGGGTTCACAATTCCCAATAGATGATGATGCCATTTTTCAAGGTCTTACCCACGTTGTGGCTTTGGGGCTTATTTATTAGTTCCCAAGAAAAGCCAGCCTTTCAGTAAGGTTTATATACTCAAGTAATTGCCTCGGGGGACACAGTGAAGGGTGCTGTTAAAGAAGCTTGGTTGTGCATGCTTCTGCAAGGAAGGCCCTGGGCCAGGCAGCTGTCAGACCGGAGTGTGCAATGGGTTTAAACAAACACAGGGAAGGTTCTGTGGAAACATGGAGGAGGAAATCCCCTCCTGTAAGCGTGTGTGGAACCTTATTCCACAGCCACACATGCCTCGTCTTTCCTCTCCCCCCTCCAAGTAAACACACCAGTCTGTTGTGGAGACAGCGCAGGGCCCACCCAGATCTCACTTTCAGATTCAGGTGTCAGAAATCTCAGTTGACTCAGAGCAAACTGTTTTTAAGTAAAATCATGGTGCCGCTTTGATATGAATTCCACCAGGGACTTTCTAAAGGTATCTATATATGTGCCTGAGACTAACTGGATGGCAATTTTTCCCCTCAACGTTAATTGCAAAAAAAAAAAAAAAAAAATCACCCAAGAATTGCCCTTGAGTCTTTTATTCTGGAGAGTTGAGAGAATACCCAAAGACCAGACGTGTGAGTGACTGGGTGGGTGAGTAGATGCATGGGTATCTGTGAGAGAGGCTGGTGCCAACATGATATTGGCAACTAATGGGTAAAAAAAATACAAGTAATTTAAGAAAACGAATATCCCCTCACCATATGCGCATGCAGGCCTCCATAATTCTGGAATTAAATTGTCTGGCTTCAACCCCTACTGCTGACACCAACGAGCTGAGTGACCTTGGGCAAGTCACTTCTTTCTTTGCCTCAGTCTGGGGCCTATAATAGCCCCTACAAGCAGTAAATTGAATTATTGACCCCGTGGGGGTATTACGCTTCTACATCTTTGTCACAGCCTCATAGCACATGGAATGTGCTTCCCCATCCCTTGACTTTGGACTTGGTCATATGACTTGCTTTAGACAATGAGATTTTGAAGAATGTGACTGAATCAGAGGCTTGACATGTGTTGCAGGGCTGGGCTTGCTCTCCTGTGCTTTGGATCCATAATGAGAAGAACACATCCTGCGAAGCTGCTGCCTCTTCCAGCAAGGCTCTAGAATAAACACACGTGGAGCAGACCTGAACTCAACTTGCAGCCTGGAGCCAAGTGACCCAGCCTGGATTCAGAACTGCCTCAGCTGACCTACAAACACATGAACAAGCAGGAAATGCTTGTTGCAAGCTATTGAGTGTTGGAAATTTTGTTACATAGCATTATTGTGGAAGTGGCTGACTGCTACATTCCCTCAGTGGGCTGGTGGGAAGACTAATGATACAGTGTTTGAAAAACATTAAGCATAATTCTTAGGACCTAGAAAGAGCTCAGAAATATTAGTTATTATTAGTAATCAATATTACTGAAAGTGGTTTTGCATATAATAGTCACATGAGAACTGCTATTGAACTGGTTAATTGAATTAATGGACAAGTATTACTTGAGTAAAGATTCTATGAGAATGCAAGCACATCAGGAAATTGGAAGACCAGGGACCTGCCATGATCCCCAAGTTACATTCATTCATTCATTCATTCATTCAGCAGACACTCCCTGAACCTCTGCTCTGTGCCACACACTGGAGTGAATGTTGGAACCACTAAGAAGATTAAGTCTCCAAACCCTCCTAAGGATGGAGACCTACAGATCCCCACCATGTGACAAACACTGCTAAGTACTGCCCCGTGCTACATCATTTGACCTTCACAACAGCCTTGTGAGCCAATATTATTTAATGCCCATTTTTCAGGTGAGGAGACTGAGGCTCAGGAAAAAAAACAACATAGGAAAAGACCAAAGCCCACTCCTATACCTTTAGTGTGCACTCGTGCCAGTGAATTCAAGTTCATGGTGGGCACACCCATCAGGTAAGCGCAGTGAGGATAAAGAAGTAAACACAGCTGTGTCAGTCTCCAGGCGTCTTACGTGCAATTTGCTTAAGAAATACTGAAGCTTGGGGGGCCCAAGCTCTGCTTCTGCCATCAGCTGTCTGGAAGCCCTTGAGCCCCTCTCTGACCATCAGTTTCCCCACCTGGATGGGAGAAGGACCTTGAAAGCTGTGGCTCCAGCATCTTCTAAAGCTATTGATTCAAGAGGCATTGCTGTTGGAAGTTCATTTTAAAGGGATTAAGGGATGGGAATCACAGTGCAAGGAACTGGCCCAGTAATTTGAACGTGGGGACAACAGACCACTTAAGGGGAAAGGAGATAAGGTCGGGCCATGGGCACTGCTCCTTACAAGCCCCAACTCAACAGCCACAACCTTGCCTTTGGTCATTCCACTGTGAGCATTGAGACCAGAGCATTTGGGGTCTTCCAAGAAACTTCTGTCAGAATGGAATGCCCCCTCTAAGATGTCAGAGGACTTAGTTTTCGGCTAACGCCTTACTTCTCAGTTAACACTTTAGCAGAGACTGGAATGAAGTTCAATTCACATTCAGCTTATTCCCCAGCTCGAGGCTGTTTCCAAGGGGACGGCATGGGGTGGGTGGGGACGGCCAGAGTCAGAGTTCCTGTGCTGGGAAGGGCTGCACCTGAGGGCTGGGGATCAGTGCACAGGCTCTCCAATTTGTTTCGTTGGATCTGGCTTCAGATCTCTGCCACCAGCAACGACCTGCTTCCAGCCCTGTGACTTTGACGAATTTAGACTGCTCAGTAATCTGAAGTGCATTTCAATTTCATAAATTTAAAAATACTGTGGTTAGACAGATCCCTTCTGCAGTAATGCATCCATTAAGTGCACTTGAAGCCAATTTTGCTATGCTAATCCATCACAAATCAACGTGAAATTTAGGTTCTTGTGAAAATTTCCTACACCCGATCCAAAACCTCAACCAGATTTAGGATAATAACAAATTCCTTAAAGCTGCAGACTTCAACTCTGTATCGAAACTTCAGTGAAGAGAGCAATGGAGCCAGTTTTAAACAAACGTCAGAATGGGTATGTTTACACGAGCGCTGCCTATTCTAACGGGGTCCCCCCCCCCCCACCGGGGGTCAATTCACTTACTCTAAAGATGCTGCCACAGCTGGAAGATTTTAGAACTCTCTTCTGAGTTCCCTCCAGGGAAATCTGTAAGCCCTTTGAGGACAAGAACAGGGTCAGCTAAGTCTCTGTATTCCCAGCCCCTAGCTCAGAGCCTGGCACGACGGACACATCCAGTGAATGACCCAGTTGGAACTTCCTGTCTTGATTAGCAACTTGTCCACCAAATTATTTTCTAAAAGCAAATGCCTTCCCCACCAATGAAGACTGGGGATCCGAAAAGCACAGGCTGAAACCTCTGAAGGAAAATCAGATGAAGACTCTAAGTGGTTTTAGTGATGACACAGCATCACCTCCTTATCCTCCACGAGTGAGCGTATGGCCAGTAATTGGTGATAAAAAGAACCTACAGGTGATGAAAGAGACAATGTCATTGTTATCACCACCTAAGACTGTTGCTGCCAACTGTTGGTGGGCATCGCCTATTAACTGGCTGTTTTTAGCTGCATAATACTGCCTTTTCTAACGGGGCCCCCCCCCCCCCACCGGGGGTCAATTCACTTACTCTAAAGATGCTGCCACAGCTGGAAGATTTTAGAACTCTCTTCTGAGTTCCCTCCAGGGAAATCTGTAAGCCCTTTGAGGACAAGAACAGGGTCAGCTAAGTCTCTGTATTCCCAGCCCCTAGCTCAGAGCCTGGCACGACGGACACATCCAGTGAATGACCCAGTTGGAACTTCCT